TAATTTGTTTCTATTTTAAAGTAGAGACGGGGTCTCGCTCTTGCTCAGGCTGGTTTTGAACTCCTGACCTTGAACAATCCGCCCGCCTCAGCCTCCCAGAGAGCTAGGATTACAGGCGTGAGCCACCGCGCCCGGCGGAGATTTTGTTTTGTTAGTCACTTAATCTATACCTCTATTTTGGCACTGAGATTTTGTTAGTTTATTTAATATTAAATACTTTACTGAAGGTAACATGTAAAATTAAGATAAACATGTTTTGGAAAAATGGCAACTGACTCCACTCAACTGTGGAGGGGAACAGACACGTTTGGAGATACTGGAGATGCACCGACTGGCCCCCAGCAGTTTGTATGTTTTACTGGGGAATGTGGGCCTTCATTTAACCTGGTAAGAAGTGAAGTAGGATTCAATAAAGAGTGCTTCTATATATAATAGGCTTTAAACCAGCCCCATCTATAAAACTGAGGCAGCTCTGCGTTCTAACTATCCTGCAATATGAAAGTTTCCTCAAAGTGCTAATACTCTGTGTGCTATGAATATCAAAAAGAAATGTGTTCATATATATATAGAAATGATGAAAACAGTGAAATATGTTCAATTTCTTTCTTCCCTTCTCTCCCCTCTTCACTCACTGACTCAGTCAACCAGCCAACCAAAGAAAGAAAATAAACTTCGCTGAGCACCTTCTATGTCAATTCAACATGTAGTGCTAGAAGAAATACAAAGGCGGATAAGTTGTATCTGCATGTAAGGAATAAGTTATCTTGCACAGTCTCTCTGACTTTTGCTCCATTTTCCCATCCTTGCTCTCATCACCCCTTTTCAGGACTCTATCATCTGGATTCAAATCATCTCAACAATGACCTCTTAGATCTCTCTTCAATCACATACATAGGGCAAGATATTGAACTTAAAAGGAACTCAAGGTCCATCCTTCTGGTTTTTCCTTCCTGTACATCCTCTCTTCTGTCTTTTCTGCCATCATTCCCTTCCAGGACCCTCTAGTCTATAATCAAAATAGTCTAATTGCTTTCTTTCTAGTAGGTCTCTGTACAGTTTTTCTTTACTCCTAATATATTCAACTCTCATTTCCAAATTAATCTTCCTCAAATAGTGGTTATGTTAAACCACCTCCTGCCAAGATTTTTTTTTTTTTTTTTTTATGTCTCCCCATACCTAGGGCAGGAGTTCTCAACCAGGGGCCATTTTGCCCCTCACCAGAGATTTAGCAATGTCTGGAGACATTTCTGGTTGTCACAATGGGGGACGCTACTGACATCTAGTGGGTAGAAACGAGAGATGCTGCTAAATATCCTAACAACACATAGACAGCCCCACACAACAAAGAATCACCCTGCTCCAAAATGTCTGTAGTGCCAAAGTTGAGAAGCCCTGACTTAGGGTATGAAGTCCAAGCTACTTAAGACCCAACCTATATTTTCAGCCTGAATACTCATCATCGTTATTTACAAGGCAAAATTGGTGTCTTCACTGTCCCTTGAATATATTGTATACCCTCCTAGCTTTGTACCTTCATCCACAGTTTTTAGTCAAATCCTCACCACTCTTCCAAGGTAAATTCAACTCCCCATTTCAGGGAAACCATTTATTTTCTCATTCAACAAAGGCATACGAAATATACTTCCAATAGCTAAGCTCACCAAAACAAATAAACAACCAAACAAAAAAACACCACTGCCACCAACAGAACCCCAAACAAATACAGAAACAAAAGCCACGGTTTCTACCATCAAGCAGTTCATAGTCTAAAGAGGATTAAGACACAGAACTAAATCATTGCAATACCAACAGTAAATGGTATGATAGCGGTATATACAAAATGTACAAAGGAAGGAACAACTGAGTGTGTAAGAACATGGGAATGTCTGATAAGGGTTCAGAGAGGAGAACAGTAAAGGACCCATAGGAGAAGCCAGGTAGAAAGGAGAGATGGGCATTCCCTACAGAAATGATCTCCCTGTTACCAGTGTAACTACTCTATAATACATTCTCAACAGTGTTTTTTTGTTTTTTGAAACAGTTTCACAGAGTGCTCTTTTTCAAATGCAAATTCGATAGTGACATCTTACCCTTGTTAAAAACAAAACAAACCACCATGAACAAAGAGCTGTCATGGGCTTCACATCCCCTTGTTGCGCACCACACTTTAGAGCCATGGTCTTTTTTTTTTCCTATGTCCTTCCAACATGCCAGTATAAGGTGTTTACACCTGCTACAATATTCTGTTATTCTTTTAAACGGCTTGATCACCTAAGGTTGTCTTCCTCTCATCAGTTTCCTTTCAGTTTAAAATGTCATTTCCTCAGATAGGCCTTCCCTGACAACTCGAGCTGGAAAGTTCCTGTTAGATCCCATCAACCTGCTCTTTTTTCTTCATAGCACTCATCTTTTATTTATTTATAATCTCTCTACCCCAACTAGAGCAGGTCTACTTTCTGAACTGTTCCCCATTAGATTCTCAGCACCCAAACAATGTCTGGCCCCTAGTAGGTGCTCAATAAGTATTTGGCCAATGACTGAATAAATGAAAATAAGGAACCAAAAGGTAAGATAAGCCAGGCGCGGTGGCTCACGCCTGTAATCCTAGCACTCTGGGAGGCTGAGGCGGGCGGATTGCTCGAGGTCAGGAGTTCGAAACCAGCCTGAGCAAGAGCAAGACCCCGTCTCTACTATAAATAGAAAGAAATTAATTGGCCAACTAATACATATATAGAAAAAATTAGCCGGGCATGGTGGCACATGCCTGTAATCCCAGCTACTCAGGAGGCTGAGGCAAAAGGATTGCTTGAGCCCAGGAGTTTGAGGTTGCTGTGAGCTAGGCTGACGCCATGGCACTCACTCTAGCCTGGTCAACAAGCGAGACTCTGTCTTTAAAAAAAAAAAAAAAAGGTAAGATAAACACGGGCACCCTCTAGACTATTTTTGTATTATTGACATATTTATTGTCATTTAGCTTACGTGTGTCCTTTCTCTTCAGTTAGGTTGTAAGATCCCTATGGACAATGACCCTAAGTTATTCTCCTCTGCAAGTCCCAAAGATCTAGAAAAATACCAAACTCATAATAACTGCTCAAGAAGTAGATGGTAAATGAATTGATGATACAATGTCATTTACAGGGACAATAGAAAGCGAAGTGTGGTAGAAAGAATACAGAACTGGGAACCATGAGACACATGTCACAGCCACAGCTCAGCTCTGCCACTAACTAGCTGACTACAGGCAAGTCACTCTGCTTGGGCTTCAGTTTTCTCATCTATAAAAAAACAAATCTCTAGAATCCTGTTCAGCACTAACATTCTGTAAAGGAGCTTGGTGATTTCTAAAATCACATAGCATTTCACTCACTACCACTAGAGGGCGAGCGTAGGTCACATAAACAGAATTTTTACATCTTAAAAACACAAATATGGGCACTTTTTTTTCTGTTTTAAGAATACCAGTATATGAAAGTGATGTTCTGTTCCATTCCACTGTTAAAACTTTTACAAAGCTTCATCAGTGAAGGAAAAAGCCAATGACCTTAATAGTCAAAGTATACATATAGCTGGAGTCCTAGATATTACCTGAAGAAAGAATTTCAAAGTTAGATGACTGTTAAATAACACTTCTTAATGATAATTAAGAACAATAGCCACCACTTACTGAAGTCTCCCTTCTTCTCCTCTTCCAACAGTGTATTTCATATACAGTGGGGAGACTAAAAACCAGTCACATCATGTCACATCTCCATTCAAAGCCCTCCAAGGCTTCCTATCTCCCTTGAGAGTAAATTCAAACTCCTCACCATGCCCTATGAGGCCTCACCCAACTAACTCCCCAGATACCTTTCCAACGTATTGTCCTATAATTCTGCGTGCCAGCCATACCAGAATGCTTGCTGTTCCTTGAACACATCAAGCCAAACTCCTCAGGGCCTTTGTACTTGCTGTTCTCAGCTCTCCTCCAGAAATCCACATGACTGGCACCCTTATTTCCTTTAGGTCTCTTCTCAAATATCACTTTACCAGAGAGCTTTTAGGCTACTTTTAAATAGGAACTCCTTCTCATTCTTTGTTCCCCTTCACTATTCTGGTTTTCTTTATAGCACCTGTTACCACATGATACAACATATATATTCATTCTGTCTCCACAAGAAAGTAAGCTCCTTGACAATAGGGATATATTGTTTATTTTCTTCACTTATATTCCCAATGCTCAGAATGATGCCTGGCCCATAGGAAGCACTCAAGAAATAAGTGTGGCATCAATGATCCCTACCCGGCAGATACCCTATCTCATTTAAGCCTCACAATCACCCCACAAGGAGGGGCATTATTGTTAGCCCCACATGACAGATGAAAAAACAAAGTCTTTGAGAAGTTAAGTTACTTGGCCAAGGTCAATCACAGACCTAGTAAGGGAAAGATTCAGGATACACACTCAGTTTACTAGTATAAAACCCATACATTTTATCTCATGTCATACTACCTCTCTGAAAGAAATAAACATTTTTGTTTCCTGAGGATATCATTAAGTAATAGCACAAGCCCAAAGGGAAATCCTGAAGAGGCTTCATTTAAAATCAAAATTCCTCCGACTAGCTACAGCTAACCTATTAAAGGAGCAATCAAAAGAAGAGAGCCGCTCTCGGGCAGGTTATGATAGGCGCGGCAGCCCTAGCACATAGGGAATAACAGTCTTAGGTCCTCTATACATGTGATAAGCTATGGTATTCCTTAAGACTGTCCCCTACACAACACGCAGAAAATACATGTCCTTCTCTCTTTAGTTGGTCTTTTTGTTTACTCTTTCATTCACAGACCCGGGAACCATTTCACATTTCATTCCTAGCAAAAGTGCTTCCATTCCTCCTGGCCGTTTTCCCTCCAGCATTGTCTACTTTTATTGGGCAGTCAGCAGGAAGAGAAAAGCCCTGAAAAATCAATGTATGGAACTGAAATAAACATTTTCATGAGATTTTCAAAACTATGATGTGCAATTCTGGCTATAACATTTTCTTCCTAATGTAGCAACTCTGCTGTCTGCTTCTAAACAGCCACTTGCTGGAAAAGTACATAACAGAAACTGTTCTCGTGAGGATATACTGCCAGAAAGATGTTAAAGTGTTTGTTTGCTTTTTTTTCCATAGCAAAATGTGGCAACAGAAAGACGTGAAAAACAAATCTTTCACAGAAAGCTGCTGTTCGTTTACCTTTAAATATTTAATGAGCTCTCCTGGAACTTCTTTCGAGCCTGACTGAATCAGCTGGCAATGATGGAAGAATTTGTGCACATGCAGATCCTGGAACACAGATGGAAACAGCCATATGAAATTTGATTCATTACCCTAAACGCAGGCTCTCTACCTCTCTCTCCTCCTGCACCTTGCAAACCTATCCACCCGGGTGTTCTAATGCCCACACTCGGCAGCTGCAGCTACCAACACGAGTCCACCTCCTGAAGTCCTCTCGACCACCACACAGAACAGAAAACCCAGCTAAACTTGACATGCACTAAGCAGGCAGGGGAGGCCACAATTTATGCCCAACTAGTCAAACGTTCATTTAAATCCCTCACTCTCCCTTTTTTTTGAGACAGAGTCTGGCTCTGTTGTCTGGGCTACAGTGCTGTGATGTCAGCCTAGCTCACAGCAACCTCAAACTCCTGGGCTCAAGCAATCCTCCTGCCTCAGCCTCCCAAGTAGCTGGGACTAAAGGTGTGCACCACCATGCCCGGCTAATTTTTCTATTTTTAGTAGAGATGGAGTCTCACTCTTGCTCAGGCTGGTCTCAAACTCCTGACTTCAAGAAACCCTCCCGCCTTGGCCTCCCAGAGTGCTAGCATGAGCCACTGTGCCTGGCCATAATTCTTTTTGAGTAGTGTATTCTCTGAAGTTGGGCTGCTTCTCCATCTTAATGAAATAAGCAGGAATAGAGGTGAAGAAATTGACAAGGGAAGAAAAAGCAGGAGCAGGAAGTTACCAGAACAACAGTCTCAGGCATTCAATACTCAGCTTTACCATGGCACTTCACTGGCAAGGAAGTCCATCGGTCCTATATGGAGTCAATATACACTTATTCTATGGACAAAATGGGCTACATCAGAACTGGGATAATGCAATCTGTATTTTGATCTGGTTCCCCTACTAACTACTGTGTGATCTTAGGAAAGTAAGTCACCTAACCTGACTGAGCCTCAATGTCTTCATCTATAAAATGGTGAGTATAGCTTTCACGTTCCTTTCAGAGTTTTGTGAGGCTCAAATCAACAAGATTTGAGAAGAAAAAGATGTTGTAATTGAGAGGAATTATAAAATTTGAGCTAGAAAGGTGTTATTAGAACATTAATGAGAAAAAAATCTTATAGGCCACAACTTCTCTAAGGCTGTAGGAATCGATTATAGTTTATTGTCTATATTAATCAAGAAATATACTCAAGTATAAAAATTGATAAAATTCAGACAATACAACTTACTTGAGTATAAATGGTAGACTCTAAGTGGCTTTTAATCTTCAACAAAGGCTTTGCACCATCCACCCACTTAATATCCACATTAGATTGCTGTGAACAGAAAATTGAATTTCTATAGAATAGCAATGGATAGATGAACAACATATAACACTTTTAGGCATCTCAACATTTTTTTCAGAGATGAATGTACTCATTTTACACAAAAAGATTACTGGAGAAAATAACCTGCCCTTAGAATAAATGTATCCTAAATCACTTTACATTTCTAATCCTTTGCAGACTGATACTTTTATAAATTATAATAAGAATTGCTTCAATAAATGAATGTTGAAACATGACACATAACATCACAGCCCCAGTTTTAAAAATTATTAGAATCAACAGACATAAAATTACTTCTCAAACTGTTATAAACTCCAAACATGCATTTCCCATACTTATTTTCGTTGAAGACCAGCACCATCCCTCAGATCACACTTTGAGTAGCATTGTCCCAAATGATCAACTAGACCAACAGAATTCTATTTTTTAAAATATTTAATCATGATTACTTCAACAAATGTAATATTTTCCTACCCTTCTTGATTCTGCATCATTCAGGTTCAAGTAGCCTGGGGGAAGATTGGCGGAAACTGGCAGCTGCTGCTCAAATGTGATGATTCTACCATCCTTCAGTAAGGGTACCCAGGCAAACCCAACTGCCGAGACAATAATCAACCATGAGAAAGGAAATAATAAATGCAATTAGCTACACAAATGTCTGAGTGCTGGGGGGCAGAGCAGGGTGGCAATGTTTCTAGGGATCTGTATGTGGGAGTCCAGGTTTTGAGGAACTGAGTGTTCTGGAAGGAGCAATGGGTTAGGATGGCCTCCGAGTCCCAGCCTGGCCACTAATAAGTAAATAACTATTTTCTTGACCTCTTGACCATAAAAATGGGAACAACAACATATAATCTTTTTATCTAAAAGAGTTATTGAGAGACTATAGGGAAATAATACATGAAAATCCTTTAAAACTTCAAAGCACATCAATATCATTATCTTTACACTCTAGGGGATATTTTTTGGTAGATTTACTTTTTAAAAGGCTCAGTTTCCTCTCATCCATCCTTAACCTAAGAGTACAGAGTCTCACAGCTGAGACCATCTCAGATAACAATCACATGTTCCAAAATTTCTTATGGCAGGCCTAGGGTGAGGGACTATGGAAAATTAAGGTCACAAATCAAGGTTACACTCATCTTTCTACAAAGCAGTATGCATAAATCATTTAGTTAGGCAGAGTTTTCCTGCTTACAGAAGGAAGAGGTATAGGTGTAAGTAGGAGAATGTAGCCAGGGACTGGTGTTTATGACTTGAATCCACTGAGAGATTTTCCCCAATTTCTACATTTCTTAACAGTTCTACCCCAAAAGAACCTTTGGGCTTTCTATTAGAAAACTCATCATGTTCTAGCTTAAAAAGCCAGAGCCATCTGTGTTGCTCAAGTTCAGCAGTGTCAGTATTTCCATTATAGAGATTGCTCTGGGATTCAAGTGTTTATAACTCAGTTGTAAAAAACCTTGCTCTGGACTGAGTTTTGGCAAATGAGAGAGGGTATTGGCTGCACAACACTTTTTAAAGCCACTACTTTCTGATTCTTTAAAATTCTTTGCGTGACTGTGTGTGTGTGTGTGTGTGTTACACTGTGAACACAGAAGTCAACACAAATCTGGCTAGAATGTTTTCATTTACATGTTTAATTTGGCAAATGTTTTAATTCTTAAAAGAAGACTAAAACATTGCTGCTTCTAAGTAGACCAAATGGCTTTCTCAGGCTCTGAAATGTGCCTGAAGGGCATCTTTACTAGCACAACTTCAGAAATGGTTTCCCCAGACCTTCTCTTTTATAAAAAGCAGAGGAAAGTAACATGAGTAGAAGCACCATTAGAAATGACTCTGTCAAAGCAGTTAGACTGAAAATTTGACACATGAGAAAAGATTTCCAGACTGGAAAATAGGAAAATGAAAGGAAAATGTATTTCTTGTTCTTTGCATTTTTTCCTTCATAGAAATTTTTACTGAGACATAATTCAGATACCATGTAATTCCTCTAATTTAAATGTGCAATGTAATGGTTCTTAGTATATTCACAAAGTTGTGTCTCTACTACCACTATATAATTCCAGAACTTTTTCATCAACCCAGAAAGAAATCCATAGCCTTTAGAAGTCACTCCCCATTTCCCCTCTTCCTCTAACCCCCAGTAACCACTGATCTACTTTCTGTCTCTGCGGGATTGTTCAGACAACATTTTTGAGCTGTAGGTTAATCAGAGCATGGCCAAGTGTGTCCCCTAGTCAAAACGCATAGAGAGCACTTGGAAGCTATAAAGGTACGACGGCAAGCACGCCATCTGGCTCAAAGGTAGGAAGCCACTTAAAGGATGGGCAGATAAAGGTGATGAGTAGCACACAAAATACCCATCTCATGCTCCACTGGGCATCTTACTCACTGCTGTCTAGAATTCGGATACAAAAATAGTAATTTATCTTTCAGGAGGTACACTGTCTTAGGTTCTCGTTGTTTTGCTTCTCTTAGCAATCCTCAAAGTCTCTATGCTGAACTAAGTGCAATTTTTATGGGGACAGAGAGAGAATAGGACCGTACTAGCTACAAAGGCAACTCCCTCCTAGTCAGGTAGGTCTGGGCACTTAGAGGTCTCACTAGTACTATGTTTCCCCGAAAATAAGACAGGGTCTTATATTTCTTTTTCCTCAAGAAGATACCCTAGGGCTTATTTTCAGGGGATGTGTTATTTTTTTTTAAGTACGGTACAACAATCTACATTTATTCAAATATAGTTAAGTCGTCTTCTTCTGAAACATCATCATAACTTTCCAAACCCCGAATTCCATCCTGAATTTCTTGCAAATCAATTTCCTTTAGAACCATTGGCCCCTATCTCTCATTAGGGCAATAGAGCAATAGAGCAATAGAGCTCTCATGGGGCAGATGAGAAGGGCTTCTTTACCCCTCCGCAACGAAATGCGTGAGTTGTGCAGATACCCTGTGTAGCCATGCCCATCACTAGGTTTTATTTTTGGGGTAGGGCTTATGTTGCACAAATGCTTAGAAATCCTGCTAGGGCTTATTTTATGGGTAGGTCTTATTTTCGGGAAACACGGTACCTCAAACTCAACATCAATCCAAAACCTGCCACCCTTACCCACAGTTCTGCTCCTGGCAATACCTTCTTTCTAGCCACTGAGTTTTGAAATTTCAGTACTAACTGAATCATCTCTCGAATAGCCAGTCATTTACCGGGTCCAATATATTCTTCTGCAAATCCCTCTTTCTCCAACCCTCTACTACTACCCTGGTGTGGTCCCTTCCTTCCTGGACCTTTGAAATAACCCCTCAACTGGTGTTTCTTCTTTGTCTTCCTGCTCCCACTCACTTTGCCTGATATATTGCTGCCAGATTGGTTTTCCTGAAAAACAGTTCTGACTAGTATTTCTACCCCCCTCCTTCAATAGTTCCATATTAGTGACAGAATAAAATCAAATCCATAGCCTGGCATTCAAGGCTTTCCACGATCTGACCTGACATCCTATGATACCCCTCCTAGTACCCTGCACTCCAGTCTCAGTGAACTTCCCCTTGATACTCTGCCTCTGTACAAGTTATTCCTTCATCCCAGAATTCCCTACTTCCCTGTCATTTTTGCATTATCAAGCTCCACCCCATCCTTTAAGGCTCAAACATCATCTGATTCTGGATGCCCTCTGACTCCTAGCCACCCACCCCTCCACAAGCTGAAAAACTCTCTCTCCTTTTGAGTTCACATAGATAGCACTACTTTCTTGGTTAACTACCACTTTCCATCTTGTATCATAATTGTTTATATAGGATTCATTTCCCCTACTAGATCATACGCTCACTTAAGATAAGATCTGTGTTTGATTCTCTACTGTATTCTGTATACTACCTATTAAAACTATAATATCTTATATATAATAAATATAAGCTGAGTATCCCTTATCCAAAATACTTGGGACCAGAAGTGTTTGGGATTTAAGATTTTGGGGGATTTTCGAATATTTACATTATACTGGTTGAGCATCTCAAATCCGAAAATCCAAAATATGAAATACTCTGATGAGCATTTCCTCTGAGTATCATGTCAGTGTTCGAAAAGTTTCAGACTGTGGAGCACTTCGGATTTTGGATGCTCAATCTATATGCAGAAATATTTGCTCAATGAATGAATGGATGATACAGATTAGCCTGGATCTGAATCTCAGGGCATGCTGATGTTCATAAAGTGATTGTGACAGGCTCTGTCCACAGGGCCTTCTATGTTCTCCTAAGGATGCTTCCCATTGGCTTATCTAAAGCCTTGCTGAATGGGCCAATGACTGGGGCTTCATTACTAAAGCTTATTCAACTTCATTAAATCTGTTCTCTTCTCATTAGAACCAGGCAGCCCCCAACCTCCCTCGAGCTCACAGATGTCCCTGGCTCTGGGCTCACTTCCCTCTTCCTCAGTGAACAGAACTGGAAAATTCTGGTTGCTGGGCAATTTTACATAAAAGAAATAACAAAAATACCATATCTCAATATGTGTTTCTCTCTGAGAATAGCAATATTACTTTATGTTGCTTATAGTAGTCTAAGAACACTGGCAAGCATTTGGACAATGACATTTGGTAGAAATGATAATAAAATGAACATATAATTCATCTTTTACCAATGAACTTTTTAACTCAGAAATGTACTTTTTAGTCAAAGAAAGAAGTGGTCTGTAGCTAGATGAAAAGAGGTCATAGCCTAGATAATTCCATTCCAAATTAGCTGCAGGGAAAAACACTTAAAGAGTAGACATACCTGGAGTTTCAACTGCATCCTGCTTTTTGGTTGTTCCCTTTGTGTTAATTTCACAACTTACATGATAAAAAGTGAAAAGCAAATGATGTTTCTGATGCAGGTAAATGGGGAGCTCAATTTTAATCTGAAATGACAGCAAAATTACATATGGCACTTTGTTTTAATTGTCAGGCTGAACTGTCAGACATTTAGTCTATTTCATCATACTGTTCCAAAACTACTTCGTAAATGACTGGCCAAGTGGCCAAATAGTAGATATCATTTAAATATATTTCAAATGCTTTTCTTGTCAGTTTCAGTTGACAATATTCTCCTGAGTTGTGAGGACTGATTTATTACTTTTGCTCAAGAGTCCAGCGGATTCTCCTGGACTCAACTTTGCAGCAGGATTTTCTTAAACAGTAGATCAAAAACCACATCCTCACATCCCAGGGATACTTTGTAACTCAATTTAAGTCAACGAACCCAATCCATTTAAACTGCGCACTGAATTCGAAAGGATACTTTTTTCTAAGTTGTTGCTTTCTTTTTCATGAAGAAAAATTAAGCCTTTAACAAATAAATGTGCAAAAGGTCACAATGGTATTATTGTACCCACAATTCACAGTTTATATACATTTTTCAAGGAAAACACAACTTACTCTTGAATAAAGAGATGAAAATTATCACCCATACACATGAATTTAGTTAAAAATTAATACCTGTGACAGAGCATCTCAAGTAATTTTCTAATCAGAACCCAACTGAATGTTTGTAATGCCTCCTAGAAGAATGTAAGAGACAGATTATGGATTGAATGCATATGCTTGTACCCATACAGGTACACATAGTGAATGATTGAAAAGCATGTTCATTTCAGGTATCCTAAAAATTATGTGGATACTTTACTACCTGATCAAGTTTTCTGTAGTGGCTGGTGTTGGTTATAGTGATAAATATATAACAGCTTGGTAATAGATATCTGGCACAGTTATCATTCACACAAGGCATGGCTTTGGTATTATAATCAGTGTCAATTGTAGGTATATTTCACTACAGAACATGCCTATTCACAGCATCTAGACCATCTGGGTATCTAATGCTCTGCTGCACATAAATATGGGCATACTCTCTCCCTGGGTGACAAAAATGCAAGGCACTACTATCCCTCTTTCCTACTCCCGTGAAACTAGGGGAATTGGATTGAGAAAGAAATGAGCAAGGCCTAAAGCTGGGGTATAAGGCCTCCATATAACAGCAGGTGGACATGCGGAAACAATGACAGTGGGGGGCGGGGGGATGGTTTCAGACCAAGCCAAGAATAGAGACACTAGGACTGAGAAACAGGAACAGCAGAGTGCCGGCCTGGGGTGCCCATCCAGGTTCCATGAAGACACGTAGGAATCAAAAGCAGTCTACGGATTTGGATGCATCAAATACATACAGACCAGGAGAGACTGTGACAGAGACACAGTGAGACAGGCTGCAAGTACACAGAGATGAAGAGGTGGAGTAGGAGGAGGAAGGAAAGAGAGGCAGGGTCAGAAAGGCAGCCTCGGGAGGAAGCGCAGAGACCAGGACACTACACCACACCCCTCTATCTGCTTTGCATCCAGGCATGTAGGGCAGTCAGTGGGATTCCAGTGGCCCAGCTGTGCGACTGTGTCCCCACACAAAACCACAAGGATGCTGTTTTGTGATCGTCTCAAAAAAAAAAAAAAAAAAAAAACCACAAGGAGAAAGATCTTCGAAGGGCCTTCAGAAAATCTCTTCTGAATTTCTTATTTTAAAGCTGAAGAAATGGAGGCTCAGAGAGAGGAAGTGACTTACTCATTGTCACCGAGCCAGCATCGTCAAAGCTACGAGGGCTAGAATCCTAGCTCCGCTCTGGTATTTGTTTCCTACGCTGTTATCTCAAGTCAAAGAGCCCCTTACATTTGTGGGCATATCTTCCACTGTCATCAAAGGGCACCGAGCAGGCTGCAGCCCTTTGTTTTTGAAGTGATATTTTCTACTTTCATGGAACAAAACGTTCAAGGATTGAAAGTGCAGATAAAAAGATGGAAATGATTCAAAGAGAGAAAGAATAGCAACTGCTGCATTTTATAAATGTCAGAACGGTATGTTTTTACCTCATCATAGAACTCTGGGTTTTGGTTGTGATGAGAGACAACAGCATAAGCATTTGTGGTAAAAACAGATCCTCCTGCAGGTTTTCCATAAATACACTGCAAAAGAAGGAAACAGAGTCACCACTCTAAATGCAGGTCTTTAAATCTGATGCTATGGAACCATGTACAGTTAGAGGCATCTGTGACCACAGGGCCACAGCTAAGCCCACCTGGCTGTCACCATGAGCCTGTAAATTGCAAATCATTTACACAGTTGCTTCAACACCACCTCAAACAACGCCTAACTTGGCTGTATGGATGCTTTTGAATTTCTGGCCATCAAAGAAATGTAATTCTAAACTAGTTGACTATAAGAACCTACACACTTCTAACCGTCTGGGGAAAACAAAAACAAAAACATTCTCAAACCAGGCCTGTAAAGCTTACATCTCTCATGCTACTTGTGTTTCTTAATATGAAAGGCTCCCTCAGCCAGTCGGCAACATTTGTTGAATGCTCATTGTGCAGTGGGCAAGATGAAGACTTGTGTTTTTTTTGTTTTTTTTTTTTTCTAAAGTTAGCACACACATTCCTAGCCTAAAGGAATTAAAAACTAAATGTCTATTAAGCTACAAACAAGCTTACTGTTCTCTCACATTTTTAAATGTGGTACTTTATGAGCCACTTTTTATAAAAATCACTGGCTTTCTGTTATACCATAAAATAAATGGTAAGGCTTTCTATGGTTCCATGGAAAGATCTGATTTCATTTCTAGTGTGAGTTTTTCACTTCTATGGGCCTAACAAGCTCAAGGATGAATATGAGTCAGCATGCCAACATACTAATTGCCTCACTCTGTGACTTCAGAGCGAGCCTCCAGACCAGCTAAGAAATGAAACAGAGACTCCATATGAGTGAATATCCATCTCTTCTTAAATATGGTTATGAAGGCAATTTGCAAGAACTGCTGGGAAGTAATCTAAGACTCTTGGGGTATACAAAAGGATATTGCATGGAGGAAAAGGAACAGTTGTTCCCATCTCCACCGAAGGGAGAACCAGAGAAAATACACTCAATTCAAGCCAGCTAATCTTTAAGTTTCTCTGGGGGAAAAAAATATCTTTTCAAAGGTAGGGGCTGTTAAACATTCAATTACTTAGGAGAATTCCAGCCTCTTTTCCTAGGTGGTTTGAGTGGAAGACTAGCCATCCATTTGTCTAATTTAGGCTCAAGCTAGATAAATGAGGAACCAGATAAACACTTCATGATGCCTAGATGTTCTCGGACTTCTCTTCTAGGTCTCTGATTAATGGGTTAAAGGGCAAAAAGCAAAAACCAGCTGAAAAGAGTAAAAATGGAAAGGCACTGTGATGTGACAGGTATTTATGGATTGCTGCATCAGATAAGACTGGGATTCTACTTTTCAAAGATCACAAATCCAAGTTTGGAGGCACCATTTCGCCAGTCATGGAGCAGAAGTCATATCTCAGATCAAAACAGACATGCTGTGCTTCTGTCAGCTGAAAGCCTGTTCAGGTTTCAAGGAGAAAGAAGTTTATAGTCCCCTGATGGTACCATTATAAGCTATCAGGTCATAAGAAAATGACCTTGTGATTGGGCATTAGAAGGAACGCAAAATCAAAGTGGAGGAAAAGCCAAACCTGGTATATGAAGCTCACCCATTTTTAAAGCTATACATGCTCCTACCTTATTTTGTTATTTCTTACTATTTAAACTAACCCTTATAGTTAATGTATAAGAGTAGAAGAAAACATTACATTTGTCAGGTATAGTACATTTTCTTTTTGATGTTTAAACAAATTAAACTTAGAACATGAGACAACCAAGTACCAAAATCTCCATCTCTGCTTATCAGTATCATAAACAAACCTTTAGAGCACTAGCGTCACTTTCATCTGAATCCCGGAATTCCACACAGACTGCAATGTTCCTCGCCTAGAATGATTAATCGTCCAAAATGAGTCACACAATTAGAAGATTATAAATAACATTTTCTACTCCAAAAATGTATAGTTCATATTATTTACCTTGGCAAATGTTTTCTGGCTATCGTATTTTAATTGCAAGGGATATACATACAGATGGTTTTTGTAAATAGTAAATGGATAACAATATTTTGTCATTTCTGGAACAAACTCTTCAACCTCCACAGTAATATTTTGACAATTCTTTTCAAAAGGCTTCAAGGGCACATATGAAGAAGTAATACAATCTACAGTAGGGAAAAAACAGGCAAAGATCATACAATTTAACAATCATTAACACATTCTTACATTTATAAAAATATACAAGGATTGTATTCTCAAAGAGTGATTTAAAAAACAGAATTCTTAGTAATTCACAAAAAGTCATACAACTACTTTAAGAACCCAAAAAGACAAGATGAAGTAGCCCGATGCTGATTTTAGTGGAACCCTTCACATCAGACATGGATTGCTATTTCATTCTCAATGTCGAGTGATTTGCCAAATATAACACATCATAATTTTGACAAATTTAAACTCTGCAAAGAAATCCATTTCATTTTCCCTCCTGTGGCTGCAATTTAGCTTTCACTGCAAATTTTTATTGGTATCAGGGAAATAACGATAAATTTATGCCTCCAATTAGCTTGTGGCCAAATCCCTTTTAAAAATTTAACTTGGTGCAGGTGCAAATTTTCACCTAAGAAATAATGGAAGCCTTTTGAAACTACAGATCTTATGATATGTTACCAATAATAAATTCAATACTCCCAAATGTGAAAAATACTAAACGTCAGAGAAGTTTAGCAGAATATGTTACTGAAGTAGGTTATTCATATACTCAAGAGGCTCTAAGACTGCTGGTCCTCACTGCAGAGGGGTATCCACAAAGAAGGAAGACCCAGGGAGAGTTGGATCTGAGACAGAGTATTATTTTTGTTGTTGGATTTATTTTTCTATTGGAGCAATACATACTTATAATAGAGTATCTGAAGGTATAAAGATAGACAATAACAACTGATCATTCTACTACCCAGAGATAACTACTGTTAAGACCTTGGCATATTTTCTTCTAGTCTTCTTTCTATGCATGTTTTATATAGTAATATAAAGCTCCTACTCTATGTATAGAACTTTATCTTGATTTTTAGACATTTTATCTGATATCTCATTTCGTGAACTCACTGTAAATATCAGTTATAATGGCTACAATAAAGTTTCATGGTATCAGTGTACGGTAATTGTCTTAACCATGCTGACAGTATTGTTTCTGGTTTTCCCCCAATATAAATAACACTGCAAAGAACATCTTTATGCATAAACTCCTGTCTACATTTCAAATTATTTCTTTAGGAAAGAATAATCCATTGTACTCTTAGATATTTTTAAAATGTCAATTAGATACCACTCCCCTGCTTAAAATCCTTTAGTGACTTCTCACTACACTTAAAATACAATCCAATCTTTTCAGGCATTACCATGGTCTGTACAATTCCTTGCATGACCTGATCCTTCCTACTTCATCTCCTATCTCCACTGTTCCCATCACATACTACACTAGAGCCACATTGGCTTCTTTTCTGTTCATACAAATCCAGCTTGATTCCACCTCAAGGTCTTTACAACATACAAGATGCCTTCAGTCTGGGATATACAGTCTGTTCAATTCCTTAGCTTAAGAGAGGCCTTCCCTTGGCAAGCCCTTTTGAAGCAGCTCACCCCTATTGTGAGCTGAGATTACTCATTTATATTTTGCTCGTTTGCTGTCACTCCTTCTAGACTCTAAACTCCATAAGTTTAAAGCATAGTAGGTATGCAGTGTTTATTCAATAGATACTTATTTAGCAAATGAATGGATAGAATCTCAAAATTGGAATGCCTTAGTTATGAACATCTATGGATATCTATTGGCAAACTGTACTCCTAACTCATGACAGGTGATGGTGCCTGTCTAAAACCTAGCCAGCATTAGATAGTTTCACTTTAAACATTTTTGTAAATTTGACAGATAAGCAAAAGCATCTTGTTTTAATTTGCATTAGTGGCATTATTACTAAGATTGAATATTTTTCAAATATTTACCAGCCACTTCATTTTATCTCCTGCAAATTGTCTTTTGTGTCTTCTGTCCATTTTTCTCCTGGAATCTTAGATTCTTGTCCTTAGACAAGAAAAGAAATCCTCCTCCTTTTTGAACTCTTAGTTGACAGAAGTAGACACTTATCCAAGGCAAAAGGCAGCAGAAACTGAGTGGGGCACACTCACAAAATCATATATTATATATGTAACAGCATCCAATAAAAATCAACGTAATTCACTTCCTAATCTGTAACTATTCATCATGAACACTGGGTTGAAAAGTGTCCCCTGCTCCCAAAATTCACATCCATCTGGAACCTGAGAATTTGACTTTATTTGGAAATAGGGTCTTTGTAGATGTAACTAGGTAAGATGAGGTCATACTGGATAAAGGTAGGCCCTAAATCCAATGACTGGGGTCCTTATAAGAAGGCCATGAGATGACAGAGGCATTGGAATGATGTAGCTACATGCCAAAAGATGCCAAGGATAGCCAGGAGCTACTAGAAGCAAGGAAGAGGCAAAGAATAATTCTACCCTATAGCATTCAGAGAAAGCATAGCTCTGCCAACACCTTGATTTTGGACTTCTAGCATCCAGAACTGTAAGAGAATAAATTGCTATTGTCTTAAGCCATCTAGTTCGTAATACTTTGTTATAGCAAACCTAGGAAACTAATATACCATGTAAACCTCAATAAAAATATTGAAAATATAAAAACCTGAGATTGAAACATAACCCTTAAGGTCTATTTACAATATGTTCTTACTTGATAAATCCACAGGAACACATTCTACTGTGATATTTAGCTGCCCAGGAATAATCTGCAATTTCGTCTTTTCTGGCCTAGGTATAAAATAAGAATATTTTAGAGTTAAAAATCATTGGTTACTGTACATCCAAACTTAATTTTTTTTTTTTGAGACAGAGTTTCGTTTTGTTGTCCAGGCTAGAGTGAGTGCCGTGGTGTCAGCCTAGCTCACAGCAACCTCAAACTCCCAGGCTCAAGCAATCCTTCTGCCTAAGCCTCCCGTGTAGCTGGGACTATAGGCATGCGCCACCATGCCCGGCTAATTTTTTCTATATATATTAGTTGGCCAATTAATTTCTTTCTATTTATAGTAGAGACGGGGTCTCGCTCTTGCTCAGGCTGGTTTCGAACTCCTGACCTCCAGCAATCCACCCGCCTTGGCCTCCCAGAGTGCTAGGATTACAGGCGTGAGCCACCGCGCCCAGCCCCAAACTTAAAATTTTAAGCATTCTCTTTTTCCTATATACGTGATTCACAATCATTTAAGGAAATTGATAAATTTATCTATTATTTTCATTTATTGCAGAAACACCACAAACTTACTTCTTGTATTCTGAGAGCAACTTGAGAATGTCTTCATTTGAAAGCTTGCTACTGTCTTGTTTATACAAAGGAGAAAATCTCCCATCGAGATCCAGAGAACCTTGAATATCTTTGAAAATGGGTCTAAAACAGTAACAGAAGCAGTTTTTAAAAAAATTCTTAAGCATTGATAAGATAAAATTAGCACTGGTAGGAATATAAAATGGCAAAATCACTTTGGAAACAGTTTGGTGGTTTCTCATTAAGTTACTCTATGATCTTTCATTTCAACTAGCATGCATATTTATCCGTGCTACATTAATATTCACAGATTTGTTATAGCTCAAAATCAGTAATAACCCAGATATTCATCAACAAGGGAATGGATAAATTGTGGTATATTCATACAATGGAAAACTATGCAAAATGAAGTACTGATGCACACAGCAATATGGATGAACCTCAAAAACACACTGAGCACAAAAAAACAAATATAAAAGTACACACTGCACGATTCCATTTATATGAAGGTTTAAAATAGATAAAAGTCATCTATAGTAATAGTCAGATCAATGGTTGCCTGGGGTGGGGTGGGTTTGTTGACTGGACAGGGGCATAAGGAAACTTTCTGGGGTGATAGACATGTTCTATATCTTGGCTGGGGTGGTGATTACATGACTGTATACATCTATGAAAATCCATCCAGCTGGACATTTAAAATGTGTGCATTTTATCAAAGGTAAAGAATATCTCCATAAAGTTCATAAAAATTAAATTAGATCCTTAAGAAAAATGTATATAGACAGATTACAATATACAGTTGGCCTTCTGTATCCATGGGTACCACACCCTTGAATTCAACCAACAAAGGATCATAAATATTCAAAAAAAAGAAATTACATCTATACTGAATATATACAGATTTTTCTTGTCATTATTCCCTAAACGAATAAAGTATAACAACTACTTATATATAGCATTTACATTGTATTAGGCATTATAAGTAATCTACAGATGATTTAGTATACAGGAGGACGTGCATAGCTTATATGCAAATACTACTCCACTTTTTTATCATGGACTTGGACATGCGTGGATTTTGGTACCTGCAAAAGGTCCTGGGACCAATCCCTGACAGATACCACGGGATGACTATATATGTAGAGTTTCTCATATGAATTTGAATTATTCCCTCCCCCTCTTCTTCTCCCATTTTTAAGCAGCTATTCTACTGCTAATATGGAAAGTAATATACAGGTTCCCAACAAACTAGAAGCAGCTATAGTCAGAAACATAATTCCCCCTGGCCTGTGAGGATGTGGTTATAAGCATTAACCCCATTGTTCCTACTTGTAAGCATACCTCCTTTATTTCCAGTAAACAGGGATTTATCATACATCTTTTACATACTCCAGCAAAGCCTTCTGAGTGAGTTCCTGATACTGCTGACAACCAAAACAACTCAGAAGGAAAAAAAAATAGCATAATTCCTCATCAGAACTAGGGATGAAAGCTAATTTTGAAGACTTCAAAATTATTATAATCTTTCTACTGGCAAAATAGCAGCAAGCAGTTACTGCTACTGACCAAAAGGGGCAGTATGCCATGGTAGTCTAGAGTGTGCTCTGAAGTTAGGTGCTCTGAGTTCTGATCCCTGCTCTGCCACATGCTGTGTGAACTTGGGCAAAGATTTCTGTCTTTGTCTTTATTTTTTACTTTTGTGCCTCAATTTCCTCACCTCCAATATGGGGATAATAGCCCTCACCTCTTAAGATAATATACATTAAGCACTTAGACCAGTGCCTTGACAGAATTAGCAATTAATAACTGTCAACAATGATAGCAGCAGCAATTGACTTTTCAGGCTGGGGCATTACAAGCACGCTTATATTTACAAGCCATTCTTCACCTTCTATAATGCCCACATAAACCAACCTCTGCTACTCTGCTACTCATTTGTCTTTGGCTATCACTTTTTTTTAACCAGATAAACAATGACAATGGTGACTTTTCATCTACCAACAAACAATATATTTTAAGATCCTCCCAAAAAAGAAATGATTAGAAAATAGTGAGTTAATTAACTTAGACTCTCCTACCCTTATGCTACTCCTCAGTACCCACTGAACATAATTGATTGAATTATTCAGAAGAACATGGTGCCCTTTCCCCAGAAGTTCCAGGGAGCTGTACAGGTTGTACCACAAACAAGCCATGAACCTGTACTTCAAAAGGGGCGATAAACAAGAAATATGCTTTAAATAATCACTGCATGTAGACTTACAAAATTTGGAGAAAATAATGTAACCTATCATCAGATATGAGGTATAAATAACTCGTACTTTCAAATACGCTACCCCCAAAAGGTTGGCAGAATTTGTCATCAGGAAGTAAGAAAATCTATTAGTTAATTACACACTTGCATTTAATGACTATATTGTCTTTGAATTTTTAGTACATTTTCCAGAATTATTCTATGATCGTCTTTCAAAGCAAAATCCCAACCAACTTTGAAATAGTGGGCATACTGTACATAATTCACTATAATTTCTGGTTTTCTGGAAAAAATTCTACCACTTTAGCAAATAAGTTCTGCTTTAAAATGTAGTAAAATTTAAGTGGTGTCAGTCAATCAGTAGCCTGAGCCAAAGAAAACTTCCCTAAAGCAAGACATATGAAATTATGACAGGGTCTTTGATGCACAGCAAATTCTAAGATAAAGAATTCTTATATCCCAAGTGTCCCAAGATATAATTGTTCTGCCAGACAGAGATCGCTGAATGCTGGTAAGGACAACAGCCTTCAACTACACATATGAGAATGAACAAAATGGTTAGAATTATATTCGTACAAACCTGGCAGCCCAAGCAAAGGGCATTCTGTATTGTCCAAGGCGGCTGCACACTTGCTTAGCTGTCCTGTGCACCTTCTGGGCTGTCTAAAATCAGAAATAAAAAGACAGCCTCATATTTGTCCAAACTGCCATGGACACACCCAGAAACATAACTTCCCCAACTTATCAATATAAAACATCAAAAAAAAAAACCCAGAAAAAATGTAGAAATAGCCACAAATAGGTGGCTGAGTGACACACAGAAGCTACCCATTTTCTAAGATCAAAGTATTTCATAAAAGTTTCGCATTTTCTCATTAACAGAGCCTTCTCCATTATATTAATAGGAGCAGACAGACAAAAATAGATGGAGGGCACATTTGGCACCAAACACTTCTACTGGAAAAATCTTTAGCAGTTTTAATGTGCATTTCCTCTCACACAGCAGGCAGATGCTCCTCATTCTTGGAAGAAGTTTGCTCTGGATACAGTTGACCTTTCTACTCTCAAGATAAGGAACAAGTGACCAAGAGTGAATGCAATTAGTGTGTGTAGGAGCTGCTGTTTGCACAGGCACTGAGAGATGACAAAAGAGATAAACTGCCTATAGAGTCTGAACAGGCTGCAAAGTGCCGGCTGCATGCTTATCCCTAGAGATACAGAAGGCTAGAGGCTTTTATCTATACTGTTGAGACATTTTCCCCCACAAATTATTCACATCTCATCAGCATCTTCCACTTAATAAACACTATTTGGATACACAACAAAATGCCACATACAACAGATTGACACTTTACAAATAAGCAGTAGCTGGAGTGCCACTAATGAACTGATCCACGAATCCTTTCCCTCCCTGGGCCTCAGATTTCTCATTTATACAATAAAAGGATGGGATTAGATCAACGATTTGCAAATAGTTGGATTTCATAGTACATGAATTTGGATGGTGATATAGGGTTACCAACTTTAATATTCAACAAAATAAAATAAGAAATCCCTACTATTTAATATGCCAACATTTCATGAAATAAAGATAGGCATAACCTTTAAAAAAGGAGGAAAGACAAAAATCTCAGAGTAAAGGGCAGCCCTTCAAATTAAATACGTTTAGCTCCATGAAATGCTCACTGTGTGTTTGTCTTTTCTCATTTTATCACAAACAGGAGTAAAGCTGGGTATGGACTGGCATTTGAGAGCTATTGGACTGGATTGTCTTTACCCTCCCAGTTCTGACATTCTAGGGCTGTATGGAAGGCTGTGAGAAAGGAAAAGAGTGGCTATTGCCAAGGATACCATGCCAATTAGCAGATGTTGCCTAAAAGCCTTTAGCTTTTATTCTGATAAGCAAGCAGAAATCAGATTGTCCTGTTAACTGAACGTAAATGAAAGGGGGAAAAACCCACTATGTTCAAGCTTTAGCATACATACTCACATAGTATACAATATTTTCAGAATATATAGCATGCTTAGAGACTATGCCCCCCAGCCCCCAAGAAGGGCATAGTCTCTAAGCATGCTATATATTCTGAAAATATTGTTATTTAAAATGTTATCTTTACAAATTACCTTTATAGGATCTGAATTTTTGATGTAAGGTTCTGCACAGTGTGTAATGTTTCCCTGTAGCACCTTTTCAATTCTTGCAACCAGAAAAATTTCAGGATGTGGATTCGTCACTGAGAAAATTCCCTAGGAAAAAATTGCTTCCATTAGACATTTTTATGTAACCTTGTACATACAATTATTTAGTTAATGATTCTTAATAGGTGTTTAGTATAGAATGTTGATATTCAACAAAGGATTATGTCCAGGGTCCTAGAAATAGGTAGCACTTCCTTTCATACAGTTTTCAAAGATCCCAATGTTCCTTTCAAAATGTTATATTTTGTCATCAACTTCATGTCGATTAGTCCCAAAGTGCAGGTGAAACCAATGTTGCTTCACCTCTTCTGTTTGCCTGTGTTTGCAAGGCGAGTTTTTAGACCTAATTAATACTATGTACATTGTTTGGCCTAATTGGCATGTGTTAAAATAGTGTGCATTTCTCAAGTGTAACTAGATGTGCATTTTTAAATACAGATGCATGTAACTCCAGGATAATTCATACACATTTAATTAATACTAACTGAAGCTAAGAAGGAAGAAAATACTTTACAGCTCTAACATGTAAATTAAATCACCCTCTAGAAAACATTCCTTTATTGCAGTCAAAGACCTCTGGTGCTTTCAATGTAAGGATAGGAAACAGAGGATCCAAAACTCATTTTGTCCCTGTACAATTTAAGTGTACTAACGTAGATGCAATCAAAGTTACATAAGTTTTCCTTGAATGAATGTACAACAACCTTATCATCCCCTGTCCAGTTTGGCCCCTTCCAAATAAAATATCCTCTACATAGCCTGTTAGTTGGTTATGTCTGTTGTTTAAAGGAACACAACACAAATGAATTTGAGTGGAAAAATCCATCGCTGGGTGTCTACCAAGTTTTCTTTTTCTACTTGGTATACTACCAACTTTGTTAATAAAGAGCTTTCCAGATTTCAAAGCATTTCAGACACATTATCTCATTTGTTCCAGATAGAAGCCTCTGAGGTACACAGGGCAAAACAGCAAATTGAGTGTTAAGAAGCTAGTAATTCCCCCAAAGTCAAACAGCTTGTAAGGAGCCCAGGTAATGGCTGGCTCAGCGTTGCATTCCCAAACAGCACGCATGGAATGAAGTGGTTAAAAATTACTCAGGAGGCAAATTTCCTGGGTTCAAATTCTGGCTCCAGCATTTATGGGTTTGGGTCAAGTCACATTCTCTCTAAGTCTCAGGTTTCTCATCTATGAAATGGGGATAATGATAGTAATGGTGATTCCATGCACTTATTACATGGAATAAATGAAAAAATGCACATCAGGTACCTGGTTATCACTAGGACGGCTGATCAAAGCATCTCAAGGTCACGAAACTTGCCCTCCCATACTGCTGGGAACATGCTGCTCAAGCTATGAGACCAGGCTGGCAGCCTGCCCGAGCTGCCCCTACAGAAGGTATGCTGAGCAGTGTGCCTTCAGTGCAATCTTATGCTAACTGCCACAAAACCATGCTAGACAGTTTTTGTGCCTTATCTCATTCAGTCTTCATCAAAATCTTCTGATGTAGGCACCAGTATATACATTTTACAGATTAAGAAATAGAGGCTCAGAGAGGTTTATGCAGCAAGTAAGAAAGTGAAGACTGCAGCTTAGGCTTCTAGACTACACAGCCCATGCTACATACTGCCCCTCAATTGTGAGGCTCATGTGTCCAATATTGCACATGATGAGGCCGGATTAGAAATAGTAATACTGATTTATTGCTATAGCTAACATTTACTGAGCACCTGTTTCCCACTCCCAGTACTCTAGGCATTTCCCCACACTGATGCCAACAAGGACTATTATAATTTTAAGCTTTTTGATCATTGATAAAAGCACACAGTTTTCACTTGTTTATCTGAGATCACCATTACTGATACTATTCCCAACTGCTATGCGGCATGGAGCAAAATCAGTGTGCCTGTCATAGTGGAGTCCTTTCTGGGGACAGTACACCTTGTTAGAGCCTCAGAACAGCCCCTGGATGCAGGTACTATCATTATCTCCACTTTACAGATAAGGATGCTAAGGTATAGAGATGTCCACTTTCTAACTGACCAGGGATTCCAAAGTGGGGGACATTCTGGGGCTGTATTAACTTTTGTCCCATCAGTTTCTAACCCTCTCTCTGTCCCCAATATGCAGAAAGTGGCCAGAAAGCACCCAGGAATCCCATGTAGGCTAGAAGACAGGCCCTTTAGGGCCAATCCTCCTTTCCCACCAAGGAAGCATGGATTTGCCCCTGACCCCAGGGCAACTCTCACCTACTTCATGCTCCTTCCCTAGATTGAATGGGTCAGGTCCCCTCACCCCAGCCCCCAGCACTTACACAGCCCCTAGGACATGCCAAGGAATGTGGTGGTATTATATACTTCAGCACTTAATTACATTCTGTCTAATATTGTTGATTGAGTTCTTTCAAAGAGACCTAGGGTTCAAGTCCTATCTTCGCCCCTCTAGCTATGCAATGGCAGGCAGCTTACTTAACCTCCCTGAGCTTCAGTTTCTTCATTTGTAAAACAGCAATAATTATACCATTTCTCAAGACTATTATGATTACATGAGACACCAATAGAAAATGCCAGCACACAGGAGATATTTTTTAAACGTTGATTTTCTTCCTGACCTAGATTACAAGCTGGATGACAACTGAAACTGTAATGTAAACCTCCTACATTGAACATACAGTTGAGTAGTACACTGAAATAATACAATAAATACATCATCACCTTAAAAGGAATATTTAGTATTATACAGGAAATTTTAAACACGTAACTCAATAGCATTTTCTCAAATACTTATAATACTGTACTTGCTAAATCCCTCTTTTAGAAGCATCCACCAGTGTAGTGGAATGCTCATATAAGTGACAACTATAGTCCAAGTAACAAACTAAGTGGTTATAAGAGAACAAAGTACAACTTGGGGAAAAGCCACCACAGATCCACATCCCCAAAAGCATAGTAACAGTACATAGAAAGAAGTCTTCTGCTATCATTTGGTAATCTGTATCAATGGGCATAATCTTTGACCCAGAAAATCCCAATGCTTGGAATTTATTCTAAGGAGCTAACACAACAAACGAGTCAAGCTGTATGCACAAGGAGGTTCAATGTAGCATCATTTATGGTATCAAAAAATTAGAAATATCCTAAGTAGCTAAATCAATGGGATACCATGTTAGCCTTTAATACAAATGTGACTGATTTATAGAAATTGATATAGAATGATAAACATGTTAAATGAATACAGTAGATATAAAAGCATGAATCTGATATAATTTTTATAAGAGTATATATAATGTACCAACTAGTACATTACCAAAATGTTAATGGTTATTATCTATGGGTGGTGATTTTTACTTGCTGCTGTTTTTTTTTTTAAAGACAAATTTCAGTAAGCTTTTATTCAGTCTTCCAATTTCCCACAGCTGGGGGAGATAGGGGTCAGGAGCTTTACTAATCCTTGTCTCTATTCTAAATTAATTGTAATATCACCATAATTGGATATAATTTAATTTCAATTATATAAACACTGTTCAATAAAAGCCGGAATACCTTCTGTATCAATATAACCAAGCACAAAAAGTATAAAAATGTACCTACTTTCTTCTTTATACTTCTTATATTGTTTTAATTTTCTATATAAGAATGTATTTATCTTTATAATCAGAAAAAAGGAAACATTTTTTATTGTGGAAAAAATAAATCTCCTTACAATGTGAGCAGTTTTGTTCATGTGCCTCTTCCCACTTTAATTCTATGCCATGCTCTCATTTCCTTTTAGCTACAAAAGTCTAGAGAACAGACCATCAATTCTGCTCCACCTAACCTCTTGTGGCCTCCAGTCTGGTCAGAGGTCAGAATGCCAAGGAACGGTTAGGATCTTTCTATAGGGGATTCTTTGCACCAGATAAGACAGAGGAGAGCAGCAGTACAGCTGTGACACAAGCAGTTCCCTCCCGTTGCTTTTCAAGCAGAACCCTTTGTATAAACAGCCCATATGGTCCACTGAAATAACCTACTCATAATGGACCTGAGAATTAGGGGCAAGAGAGTTAATACACAGTCAGCTTTTCTTCAAAAAATCCACACCTTTAGGGCACCGATTGCCTTGCTCAGAAGTATGCACCAGTGTGCATGTGTGGGGTGTGTCTGCATTCTATCTCACAAAATACTTCCTTTCAGTCTCACATCCTGGTCTCATTAAAAGTGTTATCTTGCCAACGTGTTACTAGCATGTTCGGTGGTTTCTATATTTCGCTTCCAACTTCAGTCACCAGAAAAAGACAGACCTTACAAGAGATGGAATGCCGTGAAAACACTGGCCTGAAACCATGAAATAACGCAAGAACATTGCTGATTCTTAATCTGAATGTGCTATCAAGGCTAAAGATCATTCGGTTACCTGTTTTATGTAGCGTAACTGAGACTCAGCAATTCCATGAATGAAAGCCTCGGATGAAGGGCCCTTTGGGTTGCCGTCACTGGCGAGTTGGGTTGACGTGCCCCACAGCATTTCACGGACAGATGGGGGATTCAGATCTATGTGAAAGTCAGCTGAAATCTTACAATTGTTCCTTACATCAAATAAGCATAGGTTGATAAAAAATGGCTCGACCTGGGAATTAAAACAATTGCATTTTAAAACTAAGATTTCTGGGGTGGCATGGGGGAGAAGGACACAATTACAAAAATAACATTTTTTGATTCCTCAAGTTTTGTGATTACAGTTCTTTTCTGAATTCAACATTTAGCTAAATTGTATTATGGCTCATCTGCATAAAAAAAAGAGCATTCCAAAACAACAGACTTTATCAAATTGTAACTTTTGTCAGGTGTAAATGATCTCACAATTTATAAATTAAAAAAATAGACAAGTTGAAATCAAAAGCTACATCTAAAAAACATTGATTGTTCTATGATTAAAATTCAATTCTCTACATATTTACTGAAACTACCTAAAAAATAATGCCAATATTATACAGTAGAAACGAATCTTCTCTTCTCTCATGTTACAATTTACTGGACTATACATTTCATAAGAGCTAATATCAGTCAACATCAAATTACTTGACAAAAGCTTTGCCCCATCAGCAATTTTGGAAGACATGATTCCTCTCTACAGATGGCATTTGAAAGCTGGTCACAAAGAGAAATTTCATGCCAGATGGCATAAGGATTAACCCTTTACACACAGAAAAGTCTGCTAGTACATTTCAGCTACTTTGTAAGGGAATCAATCATTACTGTTGATATTTGTAACAGACAAAACTAGAACCAAGAAATAAAGATGAACATAAAATACAGTCTCTTTGAGGGTTTTACATTTAGAGTTTCAAGTATTCTGAGCAACTCAAATGATCCATGACAGCTAATAATTAGAATTTTCTCTGCAGACCTAAGTGAATCTCATTCTATAGAACAGTGAGTGAGCATAGCAGACTGCACAGCATCTGTATCCCAGCATGGCTTCAGTGATCCTTACTCACTGCTATGAACCAATTTCACAGAAGAAATCATAATCTCTAGTAGAATTCACAAATTTCAGGATTTTCTAGGTTTGGGGAACATGTCCCTCTTGAATGTCAAGAACCTATTTTATCTGTTATTCTGAGTAGGTAAGACTTTCATGAATCCTCTTCAAGATGAGAATATATTCATATTTTGACAAAAGAAAGAGATGTATGAAATCCTTCCATGTCTAATTTATCACAATAATATGTAGCAAGTGAATTTTAATATAGTACATTGGTTCTCAGCAATAAAAAACAAAGGCATTTCTTTAATGTGCTGAATCAAGGGAGGTAGAAGGAAAAGTCATACATACATTTGTGGGCGGTCCTTTCACATTGTCTCCAATTTGACCCAAGATATTGAAAGTTAAATCGTGGCAATTTACCAAGAAACGCTTGTTGCACTTTTCTTCAAATGGCTTTATGTCGGGTTCAATTCCTGAAAAGTCCAACCTCTACAAAACAGATAGTGTGAATCATTTTCCAAACAAAGATAGGATTCATAGTAATATAGATTAATACAAATTCACATTAATGTAGTAAGAATGGCAGGACCCAACAGTTCTCTGTCCATTCCTCATTTGAATGCTTTATTTTTTCATTCGTCATGCCTTTGTGGAGCTTTTACACTGAGGTTAAACACTGGTGGAGAAATCTTGGAGGGAGATGATGAGAATCTGATCTAAGACAAAGGAGAAGTCACAAGTCTGTCCTATCGCCTACAAAGCCCTACATGCCAGGCAGCACTCACGGCTTCCTCTTACCCCCGACCTCGTCTCCTACCACACTCTTGCCTCTCCCACCCCATTCCAGCCACACCGGCTTCCTTGGTTATTTTTCCAGCACACCAAGTATACTCCCAACACAGGACCTTTACATTTGCTGTTCTGTCAGGAAATCTCTTCCCCCAGACAGCAGCATGGCTTGTTCCCTCATTTCATACATGTCTCTGATCAAATGGTACTTCCACAGAGTCCTTCTTAACTCCCTATAGAAAACTGCATACTCCCTGACAGTCTATATGCCCTCTTTCTTACTTATTTTTCTAACATTAATTTTTATATTTATTTATTGTTTATTGCTTATCTTCTCTGAAAAATATATGTTTCCTTTATGAGCTATACAGGAGGCAAGATGGACAGGAATAGGTATGAGAGGCATTAAGAATAACACAATGGTCTCTAAACTTGGGACATTCAATACACAGTGATGTTATGAACTTGGTCATGAACTACAAATGAATGACAGATGTGGGGGTAGGTCCAGGAGAAATGATGAGTCCAGTTAGTAGGTGGTTGGAAAAACAGAAGAGGCCTGAGCTGAAGATCTGGATTCAGAAGTAAGCAGCATCTAGGTTGACAGGCAGACAAGGCTGGAACCCCAGGGACCACCTACGTTTAAATGATGAACAGAGGAAGAGGCATCTGCTTAGGAAATTGATAAACATTGAGCTCAGCTTCTAACAGAGCTGGGGAATGTACTCTGGCTGCCACAGAGATATATTTTTAAAAATTATTGGTATTTCAAAATAAGAGCAAGTTTTTTAAAAAAAGATACTGAGAGTCCAGAAATTCCTCTTATTGGGGGAGGAATCTGTCCCTCCTCAAAGAAAACTCCTAGAAACCTTTGCAGCTCACAAGGCTCGGGCAATCTAAGTTCATTTGTTCATTCTGAATGTTTGAACATTCTATTCACAAAGAGCAAGAAAACTATAGATTGTGGGACAATTTACCACACTTTCATTAAGGCCATAGATGTGGTAGGCAGAAAAAGACTGGGTGAATCTGAGCAGAATACACTGCCAGTATGGAAAACTCAAGTCAAGAAACACAACAATTTTTCTCAATTACTTAAGTAATTCAAGCCAAAACAGGTATAGTGCCTGAAGAACTTTGGATAATTAATAGGTGTTCTAACCAAGTCTGTATTGCTGACAAAATCCTTCTTAAAAGGGCCTAATGTATAACATTTGTACCTGAAAGCATGATTTTTTTCCCTTTGAATCTATTTATCTACAAAGGAATACAAATGTGTGGGACTAGACAGCTCCCTCTTGAACACTTATCTATCCGTGCAGCCAGCAGAGGCAAGTCATTGCCATGGAGATCAATTCTCATTTCCGCACATTTATCTGCTCTCCTTTCTGTCTTACTCAGACAGTGGAATGTGAAGAGAACTGGACCAAACCACCCCAGCCCCCAAATCCTTTCCCTTCTGAGGCCTGTGAGTGCAATGATGGGATATATGGCCTTCTTCAGAAGTTCAAACTTTCAGCCATCCCCTTTAGTTGGCCAGCATTTCTTTATTCTCTAAGCTTGTGTCTCTACATGCTGAACTGTGACCAAAGGAGAAGGCTAAAATGATGCGATGGCACTTCACCTAGAAAAGGTACTCAACTCCGGCCGGGCACGGTGGCTCACGCCTGTAATCCTAGCACTCTGGGAGGCCAAGGCAGGTGGATTGCTAAGGTCAGGAGTTCGAGACCAGCCTGAGCAAGAGCAAGACCCCGTCTCTAACTATAAATAGAAAGAAATTAATTGTCTAACTAAAAAAAATATATATATATGTATATATATATATATGTATATATATATATATACATACATACATATAAAATTAGCTGGGCGTGGTGGCACATGCCTGTAGTCCCAGCTACTTGGGAGGCTGAGGCAGAAGGATTGCTTGAGCCAAGCAGTTTGAGGTTGCTGTGAGCTAAGCTGATACCATGGCACTCTAGCCCGGGCAACAGAAGTGAGACTCGGTCTCAAAAAAAAAAAAAAAAAAAAAGATACTCAATACATACAACATGGGTTTCTCTTTGGCAACACTGCCTTCCTTAATCAACATTAAATTTAGTTTTTTGTTGTCCTTGAAGTTTCACCACAACTGTGAATTTCTCTCTCACCGTAGCTTACTGATAAACAACTCAAACATAAAATCGGTTTAGTTTTATGACCACAAAAACACTATACTACAATTTTTTAAAGATATTGGATTTAGTTTCAACCACAGTCAATTGGCTCCTTTGTATACAATGAAAGAGCCTGACATGTCCAATTAGAGCCCCATTATGGGCAGGGGGGCTGGGGGAGGTGGATCAAAGGCTCAGACTAGCTTGGAACAAGTACATTTCTGAATGAATGTCTTAGAATTAACATTCCTGAGCCTTGCTATACTCGTATTTTTTAAATCACATGACTTAAACCAAAGCAATATAATGCTGGAGGGGAAAAGAGGGAAATATTTTTTAAAATCAACTTTCCCCAAATAATTATATCTTCTTATGGGATATTTTTATTGAAGGAAAAAAATGTATGCATTATTCATAGACTGTAACTTTTTCCTTGTGAAACTGAATAATTTTTTTTTTTATTTCAGGGTATTATGGGGGTACAAACATTTTGGTTACATGCAATAAAAATTTTTAATTAGAAAACCATATGAAGCAAAAAGAAAAAACAATGAAATCAGTCTTCTCCCAATTATTTTATATTTTCATAATATATTTTCACTAAGAAAAATACTGTAATGCTTATGTAGCACACACCTAGTTCAAACAAAATCAAAGATTTTAACTAGAAAGCTCATATAGAAAAAAGAAAAATAAAATTTTAAAAAAATCAGCCCCTCTCCCATCATTTTCTCATGAAATATTTTCAGTTAGGAAAAATATTTGCAACATTTATATACTGTAGACTTTTTCCATTTAAATAAATCAAAGATTTAATTAGAAAATGTCATGGAATTAAGTATTAACTGCATATATCTTACTACAAAAAGTACCTAACTCTCATGAAAGATGTTAAAATACACATAATATGTATATAACCCCACATTTTCCTGCACCACCCTCCATTTAAAGTGGGATTAAGCCAGACTTGAAAATTATCCCAGTTCTACAGGCCTACATCAAATGTGGGAAATAAATGTCTCACGTCACTGGGTTTTCTTTACATTAATTCTACTGATATTCACAGCCACTAGATCGCAATTGTATTTAATGGGTTAAAAAAGCACTACAACCATCTTTATGGGTTCTTTCATTTATCCATTTCAAAGAGCAGATAAAGGGAAAAGAACAAAGAAAATTGAAAAAAAATATATAAATATTCAGTCCCAAACTATCTGCTTATGTGGCAGTCCTCTTGAGTGAAGAGTTAGTTGTTAAGTTACCTGTTCAAAGTGAACAAAACAAATATAAAACAATCTATATTCCCCGCTAGTGCAAAATCAATGATTTCAACATTTTACAGATGTTGTTGATGGATAAGCAACAATTCTAGGACTATTTAAAGAAATATATCATTAATACCTGAACTTCCGAATCAAAAGAAAAGAGATTCTGTCTTCCATCTCCTCTACTGAGTTTGTTTAGCTGTTCAGTTTCTCTTCCATACTAAAATTTAAAAAAATATATATCATATTACTTTATTTCCTTCAAAACAGTATTAAACACAGTTTATGTGAAACTAGCCATATGACACAGCTTCAAAAATATAGCATTCTTTATTTCCATGTACTTAAGATGGATAAAGGATGCTTGCTTGGCTGGGGAGTGATATATCACCATCACCATGACCCACAAGAAGCTATAGATCAAGTTCTTATACTTTCTATGTGCCTCTTCATAATACTAAGAATACTGTTCATCCTATAGTCGGTACGAAACAGGAATCCAAGAGACCATGGATGCAAAAGAGAAATAAAAGAAAAAAGACTATGTTTTATATATCTGTGGCATTAGCCTTGGAATATTCCATACAATTCTGATTCCATCACCTTAGGAAACACATAATGGGCTACACTGTCTGGGATGGCAAAGATTCAAAGAGGATACAACTAAAATCCACAAAATCATAGAAATCCTGGATCAGGGGATCATGAATATGTTCCTAAATTTTGAAAAATAGCTTTGAAGCTTATCAAAGGGGTAAATTTAAAATAGAAAAAAGGAACTTCTAAATTTATATAACTAAGTAGTCCAGGAAGAGGAATAAAGTAAAAATATAAGTACATTTGAAAAGAACTTAAATGAACAAATGGGTCACAACCTTCTAACCTATACTATAGAATCTATAGTATAAAATATATATCCTACTAACATACTCAGAATAATCACCCCTACATTTTCAAAACTGGTTCATTTCATACTCCAAAGAGCAAATAACACAAATGATGTCTGTTCACCAGAATCTTTAACTGATTAAATTAGTCATATACATATATTTACATATTGAGAACATATGATTTTCATATGATATTAACATATAAGCCATTAGATCAACTATCATGTGCATGAACTACATCATTAGCCCCTTAAAAAAAAATTAATTTAAGAAAGAAAAAAAAGAAATAAAATTAAAAAAAAACAAGAAAAAAAAATAAAAAGCAAAAAAAACCGAAAAGAATTCCTGGGGGCCAAAAAAAAAAAAAGATTTTCCAAACTGTCAGTTGGCATTTACGAATCTGTGTTTTAGAGTGCAACTTTTCTCTTATAATCTCTACCTGTTTTACCAATTTGCTGTGGTTTTTGACTTGGAAATGACATTGCCAAATGGAATCTAGTATTAAAACTTTAATAGCTAATCCTGTATTGTGTCAGTTCAAAGCAAGTTGCCATAAGAAAGATATACCTTCATCAGTTCCGGATGCATGCTCCTTTCCAAACTGGCCATGATATTCTCGGCTTTTCCTTGGCTGCTAGTTTCATCATCTGCAAATTCATTAAAAGCAGATGTTCCAAACCATACAGACCATTACTAATCACCTAAGAGGAATATTTTAACTATCTCTCCCACCCATCCTCTCCTACTAGATTTATTGCAAGGAATTTTGATTATGAAAGCATAGGGAAAACTTTAATGGACTGCTGAAAATCTGCCACAAATTTTCTATTCATTTTAGTCTGGTTATATTTCATGTGTCAGAGCCTATGCAGAATCAAATGTTAAAAAAAAAAGTCTATCAGCCTTCATAGTCACTTTTAATGAAGTAGCAGGTCAGCCTTCAAGATTAAAAGTTCTACATTCACCCTGCACAAAGGACATTCCTATGGATTAAAGACAAGGGCTTTACCTCAACAATGAATCATTTAAAAATTCTGACCTTGTGCTGTTTCTACCGTCTCCTTTTTTTCTTGCACTAAACTGTCGGTATTGATCTGAATAATCTTTTTCAAAGTTATCAACCATTCTTCCATTTCCTGCTCAGTTTCAGCAGCCAGATAATGGCTATACTTATCTAACATCTTGAGTTCAAAAGCATGACGGCGCATTTTGGGGCACTAGAGGAAAAGAAAAATCATGTGTTCAGTTAGTTTGGTTACTCTTTTAATGTTAGATTTCATTAGTTTATATTTACTTTTACTTCAGGCTCAGCACAAATGTGCATTACTATTTTCATGAAATAATTCCTTCTTTTAACAAGAAATACACACTCCAAGATGATGAATGACCATGTCACGCGTATCTTTTTTGGTTTCCCTCAGGACTGAGCACAGTGATATATATTTTTCCACAAAGTTGTTGAGTAAGTATAACCACTTAAGGCCTTCTGGCATCCTTAAGATTTACAAATTCAAACTACCACTATAAAAACAAGAAAACATTTTATTATTTCCATCCGCTTAAAGTTTTCCTTGAATATTCATAGATTTTCAAAATCAAGTCATAAGAACAAGTTTAAATGTGACCTGATACAAATCTGATACTTATTTAATACCTTATCATAAAAGACACTATAGATACCTAAATTACTTTGGCATACATAATATCAACTCTATTACAGTAGCATAAAAAAAGACCGAAATATTCCACAGCATGATAGGGTGATCATAGTTAAAAAGAAATTATTGTATTTTCATGGCTGAGCTCATGCCTGTAATCCTAGCACTCTGGGAAGCCGAGGTGGGAGGATCCCTTGAGCTCAGGAGTTCAAGACCAGCCGGAGCAACAGCGAGACCCCACAATCTCTACTGAAATGGGAAAAAAAATTAGCCAGGCAACTAAAAATGGAAAAAATTAGTTGAGTGTAGTGGCTCACACCTATAGTCCCAGCTACCCAGGAGGCTGACGCAGGAGGGTCGCTTATGCCCAGGAGTTTGAGGTTGCTGTGAGCTGGGCTGATGCGACGGCACTGTAGCCCAGGCAACAGAGTGACACTCTGTCTCAAAAAAAAATATTATACTATAAAGGATACAATTATATAAAAATAAGGTAGTTTTAAAGAAGAAAAAATATATACAAATTAAAACATATATTTCAAAATAATTGAAAAAGTGGAATTGGGAAGTTCCTAACACAAAGAAACGATAAATGTTTGAAGTGATGGATACCTCAATTACCCTGCTTTGATAATTACACATTGTATGCTTGCATCAACATATCACATGTATCCCATAAATATGTATAACTATTATGTATCCATAATAATTAAAAATATTTTTTTAAAAAAATGGCTAGGTAAAAAAAAAGAAAAGAAAAGTGATTTACAAAAAAGAATATAGACCATCATTGGTTCACATTACATTGTGACTCATAAAACACACTGAAGTGGCCTGTGCTCAATACTAGCACACAAAGAAAATAAAAGCCTCCTCCTTTCCTCAAACATCATGACACATCCTTTTACTTTACCACCTTCTCTGTCATGACAAAAGAAATGACACACTACATCCTCTCAAATCCCTCAGCATTAATTTCAAGAAAGGCTCATGAATCAATAATTTTCCACTGCATGGTCATTATTCAAGAAGGAACCAAGAAAGTTCGTCCTTCTCATCTTCAAAGTATAGAAAAGGATGAAATTGAACTGCTGTGGTAAAGTCATAAAGATTTATACATTTAAAATATTCGGGAGGGGAGATCATAAATAGATGAGGGAAGTGGATCCTGAGAGAAATACAAAGAAAGGTCAATCCAGACTAGGGCTAATGCGTGTGCCCTCTTTCTTCCAGTTAGATTAAGAAAGCTATTATATATATTTTAAAAGCACCTTCGATTCACATAGATTTTTTTTTTTTTTTTTGAGACAGAGTCTCACTTTGTTGCCCAGGCTAGAGTGAGTGCTGTGGCATGAGCCTAGCTCACAGCAACCTCAAACTCCTGGGCTCAAGCAATCCTTCTGCCTCAGCCTCCTGAGTAGCTGGGACTACAGGCATGCGCCACCATGCCTGGCTAATTTTTTGTATATATATTTTTTAGTTGGTCAATTAATTTCTTTCTATTTTTATTAGAGACGGGGTCTTGCTCAGGCTGGTTTCGAACTCCTGACATCAAGCAATTCACCTGCCTCGACCTCCCAGAGTGCTAGGATTACAGGCGTGAGCCACCACGCCCGGCCCACATAGATCTTTATCCTTTTAAAAGTGTTATCTTATTTGATAGAAAATTTTTTAAATTTTTAAATTATTTTTAGAGACAGGGTCTCACTGTGTGCCCCAGGCTGGAGCACAATGGCTGTTCACAGGCCTGATGGGGCACGCTGCCCAACTCAAGCGATCCGATCCTCCTGCCTCAGCCTCCCTAGAAGCTGGGACTATAGGTGTGTGCAACCACACCCTAAAAGTATTTTCTCATTTGATCCTCACAACAACCTCATTTGATAGAGTACACAGACATTATTAATCTCACTTTACAGTTTTGAAAACTAAGATTTAGGTAAATTGAGCGTGTTGAACCAACATCTCCTGCCTCCTGATCAGCCCAGCGCTCACTCCATCTAGCCTACCATGCCACCCTGCTGCTGTGACAACGGCTCCTGTGTCTTGGTCAATTGACTTCCTGTTCAGATAATCTCTCTGCCCTCCACTTCCCACCCTGTGTATGCCTCCTCAGTAATTCAAATCAACAAAAGATTTGCTAAGTCCCTACTGTATGCAGGACTCTGCTAGTTATTATAGGAGATTCAGAAGTGAATAGTGCATGGTCCTTGTCATCCAAAAAGGAATGTGCAGAATGAACCACAAATTCGAGTATGTTTCGGTTATACGATAGAGAAAAAAGCAAAGTGGTAGCGCAGGGAAGGTGGAGTTTAATTCCACTTGTTGGGCACCAGGGTTGAGGAAGGAAACAGAAAACCTTTCACGGCAGAAGTGGCATTAAGCTGAGTCATAAAAGATAAGGTTCAAACAGGAACAGAAGGGGAAAGTATATAGCGAGAAGAGAAAAAAAAGTAAGATAAGGCACATATGTGTGGAACTCCATGGAGTGCTTAGCCTGGGGTGACCAGAGCACCGAATATATAAGAGGGTGCATGGAGACGAGGCTAGAAAGTAGGGTGAGGCCAAATTACTGTGGCCCTTAAATGTCATGGCAAGAACTTTACACCTCGCTCTGTAAGACCATAAATCAAAAGCCAAAAGGTTTGGAGAAGGCAAGTGAAGGACCGGATCTATGTCTTAGGAAAATTGGACTAGATCAGGAAAGACTTTAGGCCAGAGAAGATTAAAGGGAGAATCAGAGAAAGGGCAGTGAAAATAGAAAAAAGGTAAAAGGCACTTTGGAGCCAGACTCAAAAGGACTTGATAAACGTTTAAATATTGGCACTGAGTGAGAGTGGGGCACTGAAGGGGACTCTGAGGTTTCTACTACGGATGTTTTGGTGGATGGAGATGCCACTAACCAAGACAGAAAAATGCTCAGGTTCTTAATAGTTTATCAATAATCCTCTCGGAGAAAGAGAAAGTAAGATTACCTCAATAGCCTTACCTGAACAACATCAATGCAGGCGTCCAAGTAGATGCAACCTTTAGATTCTTTTGAATTTTTCTCATCTTTATAGGAGTTCAGAATATATGAACCATCGGGAAGTTGAGTCAAGTAAAAATACCGTCTCTTGAAAACCTATATGTGAAGAATCCAGCAATGATACAGTCATTATATACACATTGTGTCTGAACAGTTTCTTTGAACTAAAAACCTTAAAAGGCTTGCTGGGCATCACATCTGGACAATCTTCAGACAACCCTGAGAAAATGTTAGGAATTATCATCTTCATTTTTTCAAGACAGAGAATGTGGAGTCTAGCTATTTACTCTCAATTAATAAATGTCTAGAGAAGAATAATATTTAAGATTTGCCACTTTGAAATGTATGAAGCATTTTGATATCTGAATCACTGACCCTTTCACTATAGCATCCTTTTCCCATTCAATTGCAAACCATGATTGGATCCTTTTAATTTGGTTTATATTACCACAAATCCAAGTATGCATATAAAAAATACATATATACACATTATATATTTCCAACTCACCTGCACATTTTACTGCACTCACCTACTCTGTACCAGTGTCCCTACTTCTGAAAGGCGAGCTTACAGTGCACTCACTCACAGGCAAGCAGAGAGTCACTGGTTGCCCACCAGTTGTTGTTGTCTGCCCTGTATGCTGATATTTGAATCAATAGGCCCAAGGACATTGTACCATTTGTTTGGAGTTAGGGACTCACAGTAGTTAAGGACTAGCCTGATGCTACAACTCACAGCAAAGTCACAGGAATGGGAAAAGGAAGAATACTGCTTGACTGGTTCATGCTATCCCTCTACCCTCCCCTAAAAACAGAGTTTTGGAACTTGATAAAGGAGTTGAGAAAAGGAGATAAGAAGCTCTCTGATGAATCTATGCTTTTCTCAGTAAGTCAAACACTGCAGACTGTGTCAAGCATTTGTCACAGTGAAAGGTAGAGCTTATTCCGTTGCAATTCCCAGGATGATGGCTCTGAAATCACTTCAGGGTGGGATCGGAAGAGAGACAAGGAAATAGACTCTTGTTGATTACTGAGGAAATGCATTCCCCCAGCTTGGCATTTTCAATCGCCCATCTGATTATCCAGTGTGATGCCTGATTATTTTAAGAACTTTAATTATGCAAAGAATATTATTTGGCAAGATCATTTTTAACTACTCAACTTCTGGCAAAGTATCTGAAACATCAACAGTTTATTTCTCCACAGCATGAGTAAGCAAAATATATAAACATATTAAGGGGCATTTCTTTGTAGAAAAACCAATAGAAATAAATAGTAATGCTTGTACTTATTTGTGACTTATTTAAATATCATTGATTTTTGAATGAATGACAAAAGTTTACCTGTGTGAGGAATACCCTAACACATGAGACTGACAAATGCTACAGCTTTTATTTCAGGGAGTGGCCATGTGGGCTATAACACTATCAATAGGAAGGAGTCTAAGCAGAACATATCAGCTCGTTTTTAAATGTCAATCAAGTAAATGTTATTGTATTAGGATATAAAGGTATAGAAAGAGTGTGTGTATATTTATATATCTCATAATATTTGAGAATGTATATATAGTCTCATATTCAATGAATCCACATGTAAGTTTGCTGGAAGAAATCTCGATTAATATACAAGGAAAATGTTAATCATAATGGTGATTATACATATATGTTTGCTTATTTTCATGACAATGGTTCACATCTATTATTAAAACGATGTAACCAGAAGACCTAAAATTACATACCAAGATCATTTCAAATGAACATTTAGTGAGCTCTTCCTTTATGCAAAACACAACTTTTAAAAAATTATCACAATAATTATGTATGACAAGAATTAGAATGTATCTTCCAGGCAAAAATTAAATGTGAAAAAGTTGCTACTAGGTAAGAATTTAAATATGATCAAGTCTAAAAGTCAAAGTCTATCACTTTAGTGAGACAGTCTACAGAATCCACTCACAGAGTCCATAGCCAGAAACAAAGAAAGAGGCAGAAGAAGGGAAAATACAGAGCAAAGCATTTGTGGCATAGAGTCAAATTATAGTCTGTGAAATTTTTTTTCACGTACAGCTGCCTCACCAAGCAAAGAAGTTTTGTGGCAGCCGCCACTTCCAATATTAGCAAAACACATCATTACAATAGAGATAGAAAAGGATATGAAATTACAGCAAATCACTTCCTGTAACATTGCAATTATGTCTAAATGTGACACTGGGGTAGGTAGCTTATGAATGTGAGGAGAGACCATGATGCCTGAAAGAGCACTTGCAGAAAAAGCAGATGCCTGCAAGTCTTATGATCTTGTTTCTCAGCCAGGATGCCAACCAGCAGTGAAACTGTCTTCAAGATTCCGCTTCTCTCAGTTTCCTCGCTTGTAAAATGACAGGATCAGATCAGATGATCTGTAAGATCATTTTTTTAACAATCTACAAATAATTTCATTGAACTTAAACAATTAACACAGCAGCCTTCCTACGCTGGGAGCTACCCTCCGCAAGCAATGTTTTATACACTAGAAACACGGTTTGCACAGTAAAAATTTTTTTTAAGTCATCTCTATGTAGAAATCAGACTCTGCCTGAACAACAAATTGTGAGATACTCTATGATATAAGTTGGATTTAAATTTCTGGGAAGCTTTTAAGATGCCTTTTTTAAACAAGAAAGAGGTATCCTATCTCTCATATGGAACCAAAAGGGAAATCAAAAATGGAACTTCTCTAATACTTTTTCAATTTCCAAAACATAGCTATTTAGGGTTCAGGTCTACCTTTTTTTTTTTTTTACATTTCAAAAAGAAGACAAGTGTTAAAATAATGACTATATAGAACAGTGGTAGTTACTCACTATCATACCTCTCATTTGAAGGCCTCAAGTCCTTGATAACCAATAGGTAGTTCTCTTAATGTCATTTGGGGATAAGCACCATTATCCACATTTTACCTAACAGCAAACTGAGGGACCAAGAGCTCACTCAACTTCACATAGGCAAGTCCCAGTAGAACTGGTATCAGAATCCTATGATAGCAACAAATAGAATCTTGCCCAAACTCTCCAATGGCTTCCCATCAAAGTTAAAATAAGATCAAAATCTTCACCATAATCTGGAACTGATGGTAATCAGGCCTCAGATTACTCCTTGGGATTGACTTCTAATCACTCTGCTCCAACTACAATGGCTTATCTGCTATTCTTCAAATATCTCAAGCAAGCTCCTCTGGCCTCTGCACTTTCTGTTCCCTCAGCCTGGAATCCTCTTCCCCCACATATCCACACAGTTCACTTTCTTACTTCTTTCAGGTCTTTGCTTGCATCTTGTCTCCTCTGAGAGACCTTCTATGACCACCTGCCCTCGTTGTCATAGCATTCAGTTTTATCCATCTAATAGAGTGATCCCTATCCAAATATACCTTTTTCATCTATCTGTTTTATTTGCTGTTGGTCTCTTTCTAGAGACAACATGGATCATTGAACATGGATCATTAAAAGATCCATATTTTGTCTACTGCTATATCCCTAGTACTTATAACAATGCTTGGACTCAATACAATTTTGAAAAATGTATTGCTAAAGAATGAATTAATAATTCAGTCTCCAGCAGATTCTCCAGTGCTTTCATCCAACAGAATGGTGTTACTCTGTAATGCCCATATTCTTCTTTCTCCTCCTCTTGGCTTTATTATTTTTCCTAGATGTTGAACACAGCTGAAAATTCTCCATCTTACTCAGTGAGGACCACAGATCCTGAAGAGTGGCCCACTCAGACCACCCAGAAGAATAAAACAAAGAGCCGGCCAAAGGATATGAATCCATAGGATCCAGTCTTGTCAAGTCTCCTGAAAGCCCCACGCCCCAAGCTGTTTGTATGACAACGTTTTTTTTTTTTTTTCAATTTCAGCATATTTTGGGGATACAAATGTTAAAGTTACGTATATTGCCCTTGCTCCGCCCTCCCCCTCGAGTCAGAGCTTCAAGCATGACCATCCCCCAAATGTTGCACATCTCACTCATTATGATTGTATATACCCATCCCCTCCTCCCCCCTCCCAGCCGCCCGACACCTGATAAACGTCATTCCTATATGTCTACTTAGGTGTTGATCTGTTAATACCAATTTGCTGGTGAGTACATGTGGTGCTTGTTTTTCCATTCTTGAGATACTTCACTTAGTAGGATGGGTTCCAGCTCTATCCATGAAAATACAAGAGGTGCTATATCACCACTGTTTCTTAAAGCTGAATAGTACTCCATGGTATACATATACCACATTTTATTAATCCACTCATGTATTGATTGGCACCTGGGTTGTTTCCACAACTTTGCAATTGTGAACTGTGCTGCTATAAACATTCGAGTGCAGGTGTCCCATTTGTAGAGTGTCATTTGATCTTTTGGGTAGATGCCCAGTAGTGGAATTGTTGGGTCAAATGGTAGATCTACTTGTATCGCTCTAAGGTATCTCCATATTGCTTTCCACAGACGTTGCACTAGTTTTCAGTCCTACCAGCAGTGTAGGAGTGTTCCTCTCTCTCTGCATCCACACCAGTATTTATTGTTTGGGGACTTTTTGATAAAGGCCATTCTTACTGGAGATAAGTGATATCTCATTGCAGTTTTGATTCCCATTTCCCTAATGATTAAAGATGTTGAGCATTTTTTCATATGTTTGTTGGCCATTATTCTGTCTTCCTTTTGAACCTCTTCTGGAGCAGGAATAAAGGCCTTTTGTTATCCAGTTACAAAAAGATGGAAGAAAGGCAGGAAAGTTGATACATCTAGTATCCTCAAAATAGAAAAGTCTTTTATCATTTTATATAACAAATCTCAAGAATGTTTACCTATTATGTGTGTTACCTAGAGGGTAATTATTTACTGCTAAATTACATGAACCAGAGCCCTGAGAAAGGATGCTCCAAAGGTTAAGAGGCAGAGTAGGTGGGTCAGGATCAATGCAGAAATGGCGTGGTGGAACTTGACTAATGTCTGAGACAGAACAGAATGGATGAGCCAGCAAGGAAAAGGAGAAAGCAGGAGAGCAAAAAACATATTGGGTCTCAGAACTGTTCTAAACAAAGATGAAAGAAACAATGGGGAAGAAAAC